GTCTACAGATTGAGAACATAGACGTCTGCCTTAGTTTCCTGGCAGCCAAAGGAGTCAACATCCAGGGTCTGTCTGCAGAAGGTAAGCTGGGCTGGTGCCCCGACACAAATTCAGAACAGCATTCCCAAAAATTCAAAAATACAGAGGAAAAAAAGCCTTTCATTGATGCGCCAGAAAAATCTACCAAAAAGTTCTGAATTTTTAGTGGATGGAACTTTTTTTTCCCTGACCGATGCCTCACATTCCCCCCCTTTGCTTGTTCTTCAGAGATCCGAAATGGGAATCTGAAAGCCATCCTCGGCCTCTTCTTCAGCTTGTCCCGCTACAAACAGCAGCAGCAGCAGGCCCAGCGGCAGCCGGCGCACGCCCCCCCGGCCCGGCCCCACGCCACGCACCCCCCCCTCAGCCAGCAGAGCAGCGCCCCAGCACAGCTCAGCCCGCATGGGACTCCGGCCCCCAAAGCAGCACAGGCCGACATGCAGTCCAGGTGAGGAGCAACGGATTTGTCCGTTTTTTTTAGGGGTGGGGGCACGTGTTCCTCCCGTTCAAATCCATCATGTTGACATTTCAGTCTTCCTGTTCCCACTTCATGCCATTTTCCAAGTAAAGCTGAACCTGTCTCTCTCTGTCCTCTTTCATATCTGTGTTTTCTCCCCCTCTAGGGATGGGTGTCAGAGTAAACTGCTCAAGTTTTCCCTTGGTCAGAAAAAGACCTCTAGGTCAGCTCCGCTTGCCCGTGTTACTCCTTTCCCCTAACTCTTGTTTTCTTTTTTGGTTTTTTGTCCCACCACACCTCCAGTCCGGTCCCATTCCTGGAACTTGCCCCTAATCAGGGATAGCATCTCTCTTGTACTGTAACGAGTTTCGTGTTGCCTCTTTGTCTGTGATTAAGGGCAATCTCCACTACAAGCACCATCCATTATGCATGAGTGATGGTGTTTAGCAGATAGGAGCTGCAGCCAGGGGGAGGAGGGGAGGGGCGGGGCTCCATTTTGGGACGGTCCCGTCCGCCTCTGGCTTTGCGCTTCATTTGGCAAGCCTGCTAAATGGGCTGTGAAAGACCTTTAGATAACCTTTAAGTAAGTGTGTGTGCGAGTCGGTTCCCCCCGACGGGAGCATCCGCCGTATAATGTGACATTAATAATTAACTCAGAGGGAATCTGTGGCTGTGTGTTCCCTGGGTCCCCGTTTAGTTTGTACTGACTCTCACAATAACCTCCTTTTAAAAAAAAATATATTTTATTCTTTTGTTAGCATGCGGTTCGGTATGATGAGATCGTGAACTTTGAAACTGAATGTTGGCTCTGGTTTTGCATGCCGCCCATCCCTCTGCGCTCCTTCCCTGGTTTTTTTTTAGAATATCCAGAGAAACACGATGACCCCATCTTCTGGCTGGTTTGTGTCACTACAAGCAGAGGGCTTGGGGTCATCCCTCCTTCAGATTATCCTCCAAATTTGCTTCCAAGGAGATAAACGCTCCTGGAATCTTTTGAAAGGGTCTCTGGCTGTAGCTCCACAGACTTCCTGAAGGATTTAACAAAAATCTTTGGACTGGTTTTACCATTTTTAAAGAGCTGCAGGACACTTTGCAGTAACTCGTGATTTAATTGAGCACAAAACCATTTTTTAAGTATCTTTTTGGATGGTGTTGTATTGTCGTTCAACGTTTAATCAGGCAAGACTACATTTCATGTACTTTCAAAGTGCTTCACACACAGTATAGGTTCCGTAAAATAAAACAGTCATTGATTAAATAGATTAAAAGTGAAGGGTGCGGATAAGATAAACTCAGTTTTCATATGCAGAGTTAAACAGAAGTGTTTTCAGCCTGGATTTAAACATTCACAGTTGAGGCCTGGCTCACCTCTTTAGGAGGACTGATCCAGATTTTAGGATCATAAAACTAAAAACGCAACCTCGCCCGGCTTGGTTCTGACTCTGGACCCCAGCAGGAGACCAGAACCAGAGGTTTTCAGAGTCAGTCTCAGAGTTTCTGGATGTTCTCCCGTTGTTAGTGGACTGTCTGTGAGAGTAAAATAACGTTTCCAGTTTCTAGAGTTTGATTTACAAGGTCAAGATGACACCGTTTCCCAGTTTTTTTCCCCCTCAGCTTTAGCTGTTGAAGAAAATCAGATTTGCTTGTGTAGCTTTAGAGCAGAACTGACACATACATCAGGCAGAATTACATCTCTGGGAGTTTTTTATAGCCTGTATATACAAGTCCAGCGGGAAAACCTGGAGACTGACACGCGCTGTGAAAGCTTTGCTGCGTTTAATCCCACAGTAGCCTGATAAACATCAGTGGTTTAATGAGAACAGCATGCTGGAAACGAGTCCCCGTTATGTATATGAGAGCTGAATGAGAGAGATATAATCTGCTTATCAGCATCTGCCCCACAGACCCCGGATAGCGACCATAATGATGATGATGATGATGATGGTGAATTAGCATTTCATTAAGAGCCTGCTCAGTGTCACAGGCGTCACCAGAGGCAGAGGGTTGATTTACAACACGAAATTATGATGTGGAAGCTTCCTAAAATCTTATCTGATCAATGCGGGGAAGCAGGGGGCTGCTGTCTGTAATGTGAGACTCACAGCGACAGTCTCTGACCGATTACTGCACACGGTAAAGTGGAACCCCCCCCCCTCAGAGCCACAATAAGATCAAAATCACCAGTGGCCGACTGTCAAGATGACGCAGACCTAATCTGTGCAACACTGACAGCAGGTAAAGCACAGAGACAGCCATCAGATCCAGGGGGCCGCACACGACTGGCTGTGAGGTGACCGGAGGCCCTAAAATGGTGTTTTATCCAGAGTTCAGGGCTCCAACGGGAAGAGGTTTTAGTCCTTTAACTCATCTGAAACAGGCAGAACCATGTGTCTTTTCTTTGTCTTCTTTCAGCTGACATTTTCTGTCCTTTAGTGCTCACTGTGTCAGAATCACATTTGAATAGAAAACTTCATTTTAATCAAAATGTATTCGAACGAGCGGAATTAAATATTTGGCAATATTGCAAAAAAAATCCCACTTAACATAAATGATCACAATTAGGATTTAAAATCCTTTGATAAACTCTTAGTTATGTGTTCTCAGGATTTCTGGTTGTCCAAGGGGCAACTCTGAAAGGAGAACTTTTAGCTAAAAACTGGCTAGAAACTAAAGGAGACTCCCTTTTCTGCCCTTCTTATTCTCCCCTTTCCCCCCCCCGTCCGTCAGGCTACCCGGCCCCACCGCGCGGGCGTCCACTGCGGGCAGTGACGCCCCCCCCCAGAGGCGCCCAGGTCGGCGCCGCCGGGAACAGGCGCAGCCAGGCCTTCAGCGACAAGACCAAAGCCAACTCCCACCTGAGCAAAGGTAGGCCTCCGCCGTGCACGCTCCTCTGTCATCAGGTCTGCTTTGCATCTGCTTTAAGACGGGCAAGTTGCTGGAAATAAGGCAGGCGACGCACAAGCAGCAAAAAGTGAGGACGTTTAGAGTAAAGATAATAGTTATGTTCCTTATCATTTATCTGGATCCTTCTAATAACAGTATGACGCATTGTTTGTTAGTAAATACTCACATTTAAAGGAAATTGAGAGATAGTTTTCTGGAAATTCTTTCAGTTTTAGCATCTGACGGATAAAGTGTCTTTTTTCTAGATACAGGAGGATAGAATAAGTATTTATTTTTTACTTTCTCTGTGATTATAGAATCTATTTGCCCAAAGCTTTGATAGAGATTTGAATTACTTATATACTTAGTTTATACGGCTACAAAGAAGTAGTTTATTCCAAATGAACCCCAAATGTTCGAGGAGAGGTGTTTATCTAGTCAAGCAGAACAAATGCTTAGTGTTTACTGGATGTTACAGAAATTTGGTTTCATTCTAAATCTTTTCCTATCGTGGTCACAATGTCCTCCAACTTTTTCTCACAATAAAGCCTTAACAAACATAATAATCCCATGACACCTGAAAGGAATCCTCCCTCTGAACTACTTGGCTAATATTGAATGGATAGTGGAAGCTGATGTCCCAGCATGCACAGCTTCAAGTGTTTGGCCTGTATCGTTTTGTTAGTGAACCTGAAGCTTGTTTGGGTTGATTTTTCTGTTGGGGGACCATGAATGCTCCTTTTAACGGTGTGACTAACCTCTAAAGTCACATTGAGTGGCAGCAAAAAAGCAAAAAAGAAAAGATGTGTTTGGAAAAAGTGACAGGAAATCTCTTCCTGACTTTTCTTTGAGTTCCGATCTGAACGCTCAGTTGAGTCCGTTGTAGTCTGTAGTACACAGACTTTTTTTTTTTATTAGCAGGACCTATTTGTGTCTCTTCTCTGTTTTAGCCTGAATAAATAAAGAAAAGGCAAGCTGTCAAACTGAACAACGCCAACTCCAGATATCATCATTTAAACAAAACTATTTAAAAACTGTAGCAGTTTGCTCTGATCCTTTTTTTTTCTTAATCTTACCGTGTTTTATTTGGAGAGTTTTGAAGCATCCACAAGAGTTTCTTTGGCAGTATAATTAATTTAAAATACAGAAAAGGCTTCCAGTGAGTGGACGGAGGCTCAGACTGCTGGTTCCTCTGGTCTGAGCCCCCCCTGCTTCAGAGAGGCCGTTGTCCGTTCAAACAAATGAACCGAGACCAACGCCGTCCAGCAGCTATTCTGATGAGGGGCTCCGCTTATTAAAGATCCACTTTGAGGTCATCTTTATGCATGTGTGGACTCATACAATGCATGAAAAGTTCAAAGGAATTACAGAGAGATGCCTTTGAATGTTATCAAATGCATAATCACCTTTTTATTTCAGGGTTTTTTTTTATTGGAGCTTGTTTGAATTGTTTAAGTTTGATGTAAAATGCACCGATATCTGTGTTTTTCATCCAGATTCCCTAAACCAGGAATGTACCTGTCTCTGTATCTACGCTCCCTTAATAGCAATTCTACCAACCCACAGTGTCCAGGGGAGTGAGAGAAACTGTGAGGAGGTTATGAAAGGGACGGGATGCTGATAGTGAGGCAAATATTATGAAATGTTGGAAATGGATCGTTTCCATCAAATCGAAAAGTTTTCTCTGGATATGGAAAAGAATTTTTGAACAATCATTTTTCTGTCAGGCAAAGAAAGGCGTTCCGGTCAGCTTCCTGTCACCCTGTTGTTAGCAAGCTCCTCCCCCCACCACAGCACTGTGCCACACTCCTCCCCCCCCCTCCACCCCCCTCCGGCTCCCTTCAGATGGCTGGCCTTAGTTTGGGGCTCTCCTCTCTTCCCCCGGCACGTCTCATCCTTTGCTTTAGCCTCTTTTGGTTTCTCTCCCCGATGCGTCTGGATGTCTGCAGCAGCCGGGAGGTTTGTCAGCTTCAGCTTTCCACCTAGCACAACAACTCATAGCTCCAAATAGATTCTTCTTTTTCAAATTTAAACTTTTTTTCCACTTTTGAATGTGCGATCGAACCTTTTGTCAGCTGTGCCAGCTGCATGTTGTGTTTCTGTGCTGATTTGAAGTCGCCGGTTGTAGATTTCCGTGAAGCTTTTTGGCCCGTGCAGTGGTTTTGCTTCAGTGTTGGCAGAAATCTTTACCAGGAGACCACCATCTCTTCAGGTGTCTTTACAGATCTGATTTTTATCATCAGTTTTGCAGGGGCGGTTAGCAGTTCCGGACTTAAATGCTTGTCCAAAGCTGTGTTGCGGCCGCCTTTGGATGCTCAGAGAAGAAAAACCCCGGCCTCCTTTGTGCGCGCCCGGAGCTGCTGTGTGTCAACGGCTGTGACACCAGAATAAAGTCATGCTGCCAGAGGGCTCTGCAGCCACCGAGCAGGCTTGAATCCCCTCCTCTGCTCTGCCTTAATGCAAGGTGACGCGACCCGGCTGCTCCCCGCGCCGCGGAGGCCGGGAGGGGGGGGCGGAGGCCGGGGGTGGGCGGCGCCCAGCCGCTGTGTGTCCGACGCTCCCGCCGAATGAATGGCCCTCTGATGAGCTGTAGCATCACTGTTTGAGTTTATTCATGTGAGGAGCCTGTAAAAAGTCCCCCCCCTCCGCACAAAAGCCGCCTGTCCCGCTGGCTCACAATGAGGGGGGGACAGAGGGGGCTTCTGGGTGCCTGAGCGGGCACCTGCAAACCTGCAGTTTAGAGCTGGATTCTGGAAATGCACGCAGGGCTTTTCTGTAAGCTGCGCGTGGAGGAAAAAAAACAATTTTTTAATAAACCATTTTTGAGTGTCCCGTAGGCCAGCGGGGGCTTTTGAGGTCAGTAATTCGGTTGCTGGCTGATTGAAAGCCCGGCGTCTTGTGACCGGCGCAGCCATGAGATGAGCTGGAAGCACTAGCGCTACCTAAACGGTGTCAGCCGACGCAGCCTTTATTGCATTTGCTGCTTGTTTGTTGAGTTTTTTGGTTTTTTTTATCGGACAGCTCTGCAGCAGATCTGTGGAGGTCTCCTTTCCCACCCAGAGCGAGATTGGCCGTCTGGCCCACAGGAAGCAGAAGGCTGGTCGGACAAGCCGTCACCTTGTGATTTTCATTTAATTCTCTCATGGCTGAAGCAGTTAAGCAATTAGGCCTGAGCATTCAAATTCTTTCAGCATGTTTCCCGTGAGTGGTTTGTGGCCAGCTTTTGGCCTAAGGCTACCACAGGGTCAACAGGTCAGTGGGGTTTCCGAGGCATTTGTTTATTTTGAAGAGAAAACATTTCCTTAATTGGATTCAGTGCTTCTCTAACGAAGTTTTAAAGAGTCTGTCAAAGTAATCAAAAGTTGGCCATTTTTTTTTGTGTCCTTCCATATTAGCCAATAGAGCCTGGGAAGGATTTTATGTGTGGAATACATGCAATCAGTGCCAATTAATCCAATGCTCAGTTTAAAACAGCATTTAAAAACCTCTTTAACACGTTAAAGATCCACCTCTTTCTTCTTTTGTCCCTGTTGGTCACTGGGTCCAGCTGGCCAGCTGGCCCACTGGCTCTTCATTCATTGACTTTCCTTCTCGGCTTCTCTCTGACCCAGAATCCAGCCGGACTCCGTCCTGGACCGGCACGGAGGGTCCCGCGGGTTCCCCTGGCACTGGGCTGCCACCAATAGGAAGCGGGCTATTAGCAGCGTGACCCACTTTGCCGCGCTAACTACCAGCACATCTAATTGGTCCCTAATCACTTCCTAATGGCTGCATTGTTTCAAGCTCCTCTCTCTCTAAATGTTAAAGAGGAGCAGAAAGCCGACGCAGAATTCTGGGTTCTTATTTCCAATTAGGGCATGAAAGGCTCTGGAAAATGGCAGAAAACGGAGAGGCTGATTAAAAGGCAAACAAGCGGGTCGATTGTGTAATACTCTTCCCAAACGTCGACGGAACAATTAAATCATTAGAACAGAATTTATGCGACTCGCCGCATAAAAGGAACTTCTTCGTGGTTAGAAACACCACCGTGGTTTTATTTCTAACAGTTATGCCTTCTAGTTTCAGCCTTTTCTAATCCAGCTTTGCCGGAAGATTTTTAAAAAATGTTGCTACAAAGCCGCAGCCAGTTGGATTTAAACAGTTTATTAAACAGATGTCCATCAGTTAAAAAGAAAAAAAGAGAAAAGGTTTAAGGTGTGGTCTCAGGAGCCAGGAGGACATGGAATGAATATGTCCTGTGTGTGTGTTTGTGTGTGTGTGTGTGCGTGTAAGAGGGGTCCGTTGCAACCAAAGTGTGATGATTCAGTCCTCCCGGTCCTCCCCGGACAGGCCCTCTCTCTCTCTCTGGCAGTTGGTGTTTGAATATTTAAATGTTGCTGGTCTGGGCTCTGAGCTGCCAAAAGCCTCGGCCAGCCCTCCGGATCCCGGCGTTTTCCGACAGGCCAGCGGGAATTTTAGCTCCGGCTCCGACGATGTGGAGAGGAGGGCTTTTCTGCTCCCCGTGGCTCCAGGTTGTACCAGGTTTTGATCCTGCTCTCCGCTGTTGTTTCAGGGACCACGTGTAAGCGGATAGTGCTCCCGGACTCCTGTTGCTCAGAGGGACGCTCCATATAAGAGTAGCCTTATAAGAGCAGCTGCCTTCTGACACCACCGGCCTGGAGGGACTTGAAAGCACTCGAGTCTGCTCTTCGCCGTTTTATAAACACTTTGTGAAGGGCTGCTCTTATTGTTGGTGGGGGGGGGGGGGGGGGGGGGGTTGTAACCGTTTCGGTGGCGGGCCTAAAGCAAAGTAATGGCACAACTGGCTGTGTCAACACAGACCCCCTCCAGGTCCATATAAGGTCACGATGTGTGGGGTCAGAAGGGACGCATCCTGAGGACTGTTCTGTCTGTTTCTGTCTCCCAGATATTCCACTTGTTTGGGTTTTTTTCCCCCCATCCTTATCACTAAAGGCTTCATTGTTTATTGAAATGTTTATTTTTTCTCTCTGGTGCAGATTCGGTTGAGGGTCAGACGGGGATGACTGAGCACGCCCCTGCGTTTGCCGTGACTTTCAGCTCCTCCGCCTCCAGCCTGGTCCCCCCCTCCTCCACGGCCATCCCCCAGCCCAACGCCAGCAGCAAGCCCTGGAGGATCAAGTCCACCAGCTCCAAGCAGGCCGCCTCCCCAGCCCCCGTCCCCGCCGGCGCCCCCCCCTCGAGCATGCAGACCGGCAGGCAGGACAAGGACTCGCCCTGCCCGGGGAAGGCCGCTCCGGCAGCCGACGCCCCCCCCAAAGCCGCCGCCCAGAGGTCCATGCTGGAGAAGCTCAAGCTCTTTAACAGTAAAGGGGGATCCAAGTCGTCCCCCTCCTCCGGTGGGGGGGGGCTCCCAGACGGACGCGGCCGCCGCCAGACAGGTGGGACCGGGCCACGTGGAGCGCTCCGACACCGGCTCCAACACCGACCCCATGGAGGAGGAGGACGGCAACCTCCGGCCGGGGCCCAACGGAGCCAGCAACGGGGCGGCCCCCCCCGGGGTCCTCTCCACCACAGCCAGCAGCCCCAAAATCGCCCTCCGAGGCATCGCCCAGCGCACGTTCAGCAGAGCGTTGACTGCCAAGAAGGGCTCCGCCAAAGGCCCCGAGAAAGAGCGGGAGAAGGAGAGGGGCAAGGAGAAGGAGAGGGGGAAGGAGGCCGGGAAGCGCGCCCCCGATAGAGCCGAGCCGAGGGACGAGGAGCCCAAGGAGGACGCGGCGCCCGCCACGCCGGACGCCGACGCCTCCGCCAAAAGGACCTCCAAGATCGCCAGTTTCATTCCCAAAGGGGGCAAAGCAGCCAAAAAAGAGAGCTCCACCACCCCCGCGCACAGCGGAATACCAAAGCCGGGAGGCAAGGCCCCAGGAGTCGGGGGCAAAGCCTCCTCCGCCAAGGAGGCCGGCGAGAGGCCCCGGAGCGCCCGGGGGGGGCTGGCCGCGCCCCGCGGGCCCCTGGACAGAGATAGGGACAGCAGGCACTCCAGCTCCACCTCCAGCCTGGCCTCCACGGAGGGCAAGGCCGGGGGGGGCACCACGCAGAGCACGGCCAGCAACACCGTCAGCGTGCAGCTACCTCAGACGCAGCAGCTCCACAGCCACCCCAACACGGCCACCGTCGCACCCTTCATGTACAGGTAGCCCCGCCCACACCGCCGCCCAGTCATCGTTTACCATCCGTAGGCATATTATCATCCATGGTGGGATGAGTGGGCCCTGATAAGTGTTGTGGTACGTGTAAATTTTCCTCATAAAGGGACATTTGCATTTAAAATGTGTATTTATGCATTCAAAAGCACCGTTTCGTCTAGTGATATAACCCAAATGGCTCGATTACTAAATGTTAATTTACTCAACAAAAACAATATTTGTTTAGAATGTATTAAAACTTTTTTTTTCTAAATTTCAAACATATTAGTCTGATAGTGTCTACTGTGAGAGAAGCAGAAGAGGGTCTTGGGGGGTTAAAACAAGACTTTTTACTGAGTTTGTTAACCAGCAGCTTTGTATCTCTCTCATAATGTGACTTTTCTGTCTTTGTGTTAGAGGAGATTAGGGGCCCACACTGTCAGTAATAGTAATAATAATAATAAGAGCTCATCATAACTTCCTTGTGCTTCCTTTGCTGCTGCTCCCTCTTTTGATCTGTAGTGTAAAGAAATGAGGAATCCTTTTCCTCTGAACGCTGACAAAACACTGCTGTCATTAGGACATAATGAACAAATTAGCTTACGGCCGTAAACTCTCAGCCTGTAATGCTTTCCCTGCCGGGGGGGCGCTCGTTTTGTCCCACGCGGCCGGGGCTTTCTGATTGGTCGTAAAGGTCAAAGTCTGAAAGCAGGCAAAGACCAAAGGCTGCCCGAACTGCATTCACACGTCATAATCTCCAAAACAGGCTGAGCCGTATCGATTTATCCCTCAAAGACAAACGTCTGAGGCTCAGCCCGCTTTCCTTTTAGACCTCGGTCACAAGACTTGAAACGCGAGCAGATTTCCATCCTAATCGGGTTTATGTGGATGTCAGGCTCCGAATAAACGCTGGCCCCCGCTCTGTTCAGGTCCCAAACGGACAGCGAGGGGACGGCGAACCCCGGGGACGTGTCCTGCACCAAGACCGGCCAGACCTCCATCGAGGACCTGTCAGGTGAGTGACCGCTCCCCCCCTTTGCTCTGCCCGAAACACGCTCCGGCTCCAATGTCAAACTGCCACCCCCCCCCACCACTCAG